AAATATCACTGCTGTCCTCTTTCTACCAGTGAGAAAACTGAGGTCACAGGTGAGTTGACCTTGTCTAGGGTTACAGAGCAGAATGAAGAAAATAATCCCAGCCTCTCTGGCCAGGCTTTCTAATTTCCAATACTCTTTTTTTTTTTTTTTTTTTTTTTTTGGTGTGTGTGGTACTGAAGAAACAAAGGGTCACTTCCATAGATCTTTCAGCTGCTGTTTTAGCACACATGGGCAGTGGAAGTGTAGTGGGTCACGGAGCAGACTTCAGAAGTCTCCTAGTCTCCTATCTCATGGTACACATCTATATATTCAAAAGACACAAAGGCCATGGTTCTCTAAATATTTTCTACAGTAGACAGCATGTCCATCCAAAATGTAATTTTTCTTTTCTTTAAAGTTGCTGTCTGAAATGCCCAATGACATTTAAGTTTTTGCCAAGAACAATGCAAATCTAATGCAAAAATGGTCAAATTGTTGCATTTTCTTGATATCCTGAGTTGACACGGGCTAAATGTTACCTCAACTAAGTCATTGAAAATGTTGTTCCCGTTCAGAGAGACAGTGCTAAACTACAACTATGCTTTCCTTCCTACAGTGTTCTTCATATATTTTTGGACATCTGCGACCACCAAGGAGCCTGGATTACAGCAGACCATAATATTCTACGAACCATGGTTATAATTAGGCATCACCTCCATTGTAATCCTATGGACGTCATCATGTGTTACCAGCATCTGTTGACAGATTTCATACCAGGCATATCACTGAAATGGCAAGTCTGGAGAGGGCAGCCCACAATAGAAACAATGGCATTCATTTTTGGTTTGTTCCAAGACTGTCTAATAGAAAATATATGCTGCCAACTGCCAGGGCTCCACCACGATCACTTCTGAATATTGTATTACCAGTTAGAACAAGGATCTGTGCCCATGTACTTGCAGTCTTCTGATAATGAATAAGGAAACTAAGAAAGCACTTTCTGCAACTGTCTTAGCACAGAAAAGACAGAAGCCTTGACATTTTACAAAGTTTACCAGGATCTTTATCATGCGAGTACTTACTTTTCATGTAATAATAAATTCAGATTTCTTTCCAAGACGAAGAATAAGGATCCCCTCTTGTAAATTTTATTTGAATATGGTATCACATTTAATATTAAAACTAAACCCTGGGAATTGGCAACATTAAGTAGCAAAACAACACACTCTGCTGTATGGAAGCAAAGCAGGGTCTGCTTTAATTTGACAGTGTGGAAATCTGACTTTCTGCTGAAGTACTGCTTGTTCAGAGGAATGGAAACATAAAATTTTCAATGCAGTTTAATTGCCCCCTGATTTCATGCAAAAATCAAGAGACTTATTATAAGAATGTCTACCTAATCCAAACTCTTTACTTTTTAATATTTATCTGCATTGAAGGAAAACTGCATTAGAGTGCATTAGCATCTAGTAACCTGCCCATTTTCTTTTGAAAACAGCCTTCTCTGAAATACTGGACAACTGAATCCTAATCAGATGTAACACAGCCCCTTAAAGCTGAGCAGTTTCAGATCACTAAAGCACTTTAGCACTAAGATAATTTTCATTCTCATTATAAAACATGAAAGTATAGTTCACCATCTGAAGAGTGCCAAATTAAAACAAACTCCAGTGTTGATGAGTATAACTTAATTATTCGTTAGGAGCTACAGCAGCTGGTAGATCAAGAAAAGTGAACTTCACTTAGAAGAGAACTTCTCCCCTTATCCTCACACAGTGGGATCTGAACAGGTATGAAGGTAAGAAATTGAACAAAACCAGCTACAAATCACAGAAGGAGGGAGGCTACAAGCTAAATCTGAGAGGAAAACATTGCTTCTACAAATTTTAAGGGAAAAGCAAACTCACTGGTTCAACTACTGGAACAGCTCTGACTTTAATAATTACACTTTTATAGAAGTTGTAACAGTGAGACAGACTGTCATTAGATCTAAATTGGCACCTTCTACTTAAGCTGCTCATCTATGCAAAATGCATATTCAGCCTTATTGTCCAGAGCACTGTCTCTCACTCCCTCCCTTTTTTTCATTCTTGTAACCAGCAGATAACCTTTTAATCCCAGATCTGTCAGCTGTGACTTCAACATCACCTTTTAAATTAGGAAGCAATAAATCCTTTGCATTATTTCATCTTTCTTTTCCATATGCTACTTAAAACTTAATGTTATTAAATTAGATATTGCAAATATCACTAAAGTACCAAAGCATTAACGTGACTGAGGCTGGAATCATAATTTCTGCCTATGTTCAGAAAAAGAACATGAGCAGTACTTGGTGGCACAATAGTTTTCCTACACCTACGAGGCAACAAGCATTTTTTTCTAAACTGTGCATTCCAAGGAGTTAACAGACCTGTTGTTGGGTTTTTTTGCCCAGACAGTGAACTGGCATATAGGAACATAATCATGACATACAGTTTTCCAAATATAGCCTGGACATATTTCTAGGCAATACTTTCCTCGTCAGGTCAGTCAGTGAGAATGGAGATAAATAATAAATTCTAATAAAACCTGACTTGCAAGATCACAATTTCAAAAGTGACTTCTCAGTCTGCTTTCAGAAATATTGCAAACTTTTCTGCACACTTAGTTTTGAACCATCTTGTTCATCTCTGCCTATAATTGCAATTTACTCTTTTTGAAAATCAGTCAGGCACAAACATCAATTCAGAGTCTGCTTTCCAAAAGGAAGCTCCAGGAAGTGAAGTTGAAAGCTACCAAAATACTTAGACATAAATCTAGAGGTACTAACAGAATACTTGCAGTGCAATACAAAATTAAACTCCTGGCTCCCATGAATTATTTTCATCTGTTTCATAGGTTTCACTTCAGAAATAAAAGTTGAATGCTTTAAACTAAAAGTATGGCATAACTACTGTACATTATATAAACGGTTTATACAATGTAAAATATATTTTATTAGAACCCCTTGTTGTACAACCCCGACAACTCCAGACACAGCATGGCAGTAAGATAGGGCATCATTCCACACAGAAGCACACAGACAGATACACATTATTTCCAGACCTTCCTTTGCTGTTTCTCCCATGCTGGGTCCAGGAGCAGATCCCTGTCCCATTCTTCTTCTTGGGTCATGTACTCATCCTCTTCGTAGTTGTAGGTGTACTGCATGTTTGTCTCTATCTGATTCATGCTATTCATGCTACCCGGGGATCAGCTTCAGCTGCTGTGGCTTCTACTACGATTTAAGTTTAGTTTACTTGCTGAGAGGTTGTAGGTGGCAGTGTCTTCTTTCTTTGTTTTTTTGGGTTTTTTTTTCCTTTTTGCAAGGTGACAGGAAACGAATATTGGCTAATCTTGCTGAGAGGCTGAAACTGCCAGGTAGGCGCTGACCTGTGGTGACCTTCCCTCCCTGCGCGCTGCCGCTGACCCTGCGGAGGAGCCCGGCGCGGCTCCGCGCCGCCGCTTATTATCCCCGCCGCCCGTCACGTGGCGCTCGGCCGGCCCCGGCCCCACACGGCCCTGACACAGCCGGCCCGCCCGTCTGTCCGTCCCGACACACAGCCGGCCCTTCTTTCGGTGTGGCGCTTACTGACACGAGTGCCCGCGCCCCGCGGCCCGGCTGCCACTGCCATCTGCTCTCGACGCTGCTCAGCGCCACTCTGAGCCCGCGTCCCGCCTTGAGACACTTCGCGCGTTCAGGTTAAGGATTACACGAGCCAGCCCGGCAAGGACACAAGGACACCCAAGTGATGAAACGTTTTCTAGTGGAAATATGTCTGGAGTTAGACAACAGGGAAACAACTTTAAAAAGGAACCCCTTTTTTTTTTTTTTTTTTTTTTTTTTTTTTTTTTTTTTTGCCAAAACCCACGCTCAGTAAACCCAAAAGCAGGCACCAAGAAGCACAGACGAAGCGCTGTGGAACCAGTAACTTTACAGGAACCATTTTCTCGTGCCGTGCACAGGGCAAAATCTCAAAGGATAGCGCCGAGATCAAACATCCCGGCAAGCACGTCCGGTATCTCCCGTGCCCTCTCATTTCAGTTGCTTTGGCAACGATGTTTCTTCTGGGAATTGGCAAGTTTGCTACGTTCTTCATGGAGCTTGTCATTAATGCCTGCACCTATCATCAGCCAAGGTCATCTTCTCTAGCAGTGTCCACACTGGATGCAACACCAACCTCACCTAGGAAATTAAAATGCACACCAAAGCTGAGCTTTTGGAAGCCGTAAGTTACAAAATCAGGTGTAAGGGAAAACTGTGCTCATTAAAGGCTCAGTAGGTCTCCAGACCAATGGTGAATGAATAACCAGGATAATTTACACCTAGATAGTATATGCCCTCAATTTAATATTGCTAGCTAAAACTCTATGTTTTCTTCCAATTCACCTTCTATGCCTTAACTCCAAGCAATATAGAAAAATACACACACTCACAGAAAATACCTACTCAACTCAAAAAAACTTCACAAATTAAGAACTAAGGCTGCAAATTAGAATTCAGATGAAGATTGCAACAAATCATGCAACAACAGCAAGCTGAACTTCTGGAGACTGATGTACATACTGTGAGATAAAGAGTCTAAAAATGAAATTCCAAATCTAAGCAGCCAGACAGAACCACATGCTTTTCACCTGCTCACTGCAAATACTCCCAAGGTTGCTACACTTCTATCTACATACCAAAGCAAATGCTATGCTTAGCCTTTTTTGCTCAAACACAAATGAGCATTCTCTTAGGATACTCTGAGACAAGATCAAATAGCAACTACAAAACAACATAATTCACATGTGTATACATTATATGTATGCTGGTGTAACTTGTGTGGTTTATTTTTATAGCTTGATACTCACGTTTGGTATTCAATAGAAGTCTAACTGCAATCACCTAAATGATAACTCAAGCCTTCAAAGTCACTAAAACCATTTCTTCTTATTTGCTGCATCAAGCACAGGAGAAGTTTCTAAAGGAAATGCAGGAAGAAGTCAGAGTCCTAGAAGCACACACATAAATTGTGATGCTGTGATGGCTTCATACAGGGAAGTATTAGCTACAACACACATTTTCTTGTCTGGTCCTCATCCTCTAATATGGGCCAGGGTGCCTGCCTCAGTCATGGAATAAAGACTGAGGTGCTGTGACAAATTTCTTTGACAAAGAATATCCAATCACACTGTGAATTAGGACTGAAATCAGACCCATGCCTAGATTTCTTTGATTTCTAGAAATCAAAGGACCTTTTACCCAAATTTTCTAGAATTCTTAAAGAAGATTATTAAGTTTCTCATAAAATAATTGGAATTTCTCAAAATACAGCTAGCCACTGCTGCAAAGGTACTGTTCATTTTTCCATGTTTACTTGGTACATAGGTGATATGTACCATATGTATAATATTTGCTTGATAACACAACAGCCAGAACCATATCATGTTTCAAGATCCACTTTGGCTAAGTTATATTAGTCCATTTTGGATCAAAAAATATTTCAGAATGAAAAACCTTAATTATGAAAATGTCAAAATAGGAGGCTTCAGCATTGTCAGTGTGCATTTTGGGAACATTGGGCTTTTTACCTATGAAACTAGAAAGCTAAATGGAGTAGCCCCATTTAAAAAAAAAAATCCTGCCCATCTTGATGGAATCTGACCTGCTTTAGGTTCTCTAACTAACTGCTTACTGCCTCTTAATCAGACAGCATGAGTAGGCAGGGGAGATATTTATAGATGGAGCTTTAGGAGGAGTATCTGGTATTTTGTTTACTACTTTAATTTAATTTTATAAACTAACTGTGTGGATGGTAATGAGAAGGATATGAATGGAGGTCCATAGTGGAAAGAGAGCCAAATGTGAAGTGGAAAGGGAGCTGCCTCTTTCTGCTCAACAGGAGAATAGGAAAGCTGTGCCTAGCACAGTATTATGAATAAAGCAGTTTGCTTCACCAAGCTTCTTCCCACATCAGAGGTAGGTCAGGACTATTCCCAAATAAAGCTGGCAGAGTTGCATAGCCATGAACTATGTGTGCCTAAAGAGAAAGAAAATAAAACCAAAACAGAAATAAGCAACCTGAGCAGGAAAGAAAGGATAAAAGGCTCAAAGAGGGAAAAAGAAAGAAACACAATGAACTACATGAATAGTTAAGCTGATATAGCAAGGTACCTGAGAGTCAGCAAGTATATTTAAGGCACAAATGACACAAGTTGTTTACAATGAGGCAAGACAAAAGAATATTCATGACTGCCAAACAGATTGGAAAAAATAAAGTGGCAGGGGGATCAGGAATTGTCAACTACTTTTGTCTTTTATTTGGCAAAAGATGTGCAGCTGTAGTTCATGCTAACACATGTACACTAGTAAGGGCCCCCCAGGGGAATGGTGCCTTGAACCCAGGAGAACACTGTAGCAAACAGACATCACTTCCCATGCATGAGGAGCACCAAAAGGCCAGATTTTTCCTAGCAGCAGCAGGTCTGAGTTCACACAAGTGAGTACCACCCAAGTTAAAGCCTTCTGATATGCTTGGATGAAGCTCCTTGAGAATCAAAGGGCTTTTCTACCTAAAGGACATTAATTGCTATCATTCTTCTTAATGAAATTGAAGGTTTTCACAGAGTTTATATTTAACATTCATTTACTTGTCAAAAGCCATCATATCATTCTTTCAAGAACTTTGTCCCTCACATTTTTACTGTTTCTCAGATTTTCAATCCTTTAACATGTTTCTTACACTTTCCTCTCACAGAATTGTAGAATAAACTGACAACTTTTATTAAAACTTCAAAAATGCTGACCACTGCAAAAGTGTTTCACCAGATCATTCTTCTATTTGAACCTAATGAGATCTAGAATAAGAAATGAGCCAGATTTCTCTACTTAAATAATTGCCTGTGAAACAATCAACTGACATGGAAATGGTCACCATTAGTTTTCAGCTGTAACACTTCTGTGTAGGAACACAATAGTTCGTATCTGCCAAAACTGTCTCAGAAAGGCCAAGGAAGATAAAGAACCTTATGAGAGCTTAATCAGTCATTGAGTCTTTAAGTAATCATCTTGTCCTAGTCACAGCCTGTTTCTCTGTGAAAAAGAACAGTAGGATGCTTTCTCAAGAATGAAGTCAATGAAAAGTGAAAGAAAATAAATTCAAAGTGACTATTCTTCTTGTAAACTGTTAATAGAATCTTAAAACAGGGATCAAAAAGCCTTTTCTTTTCAAGCATGCCATAACTGTCACGTGTACTTAAAATATATTTTTATTTGTAGCAAATATCCACTAGTTTAAAGCTTAACCAAAAAAAAAAATTATTTAAGAAAATTATGATTTAGATTGGGCCAAAATATTGAATTCTGCTAAAAATTATGCATAAATTTCCCTAACAAAGCTAAGCAGAAAGGTAAGGTGTGTTATAAAATGTATTCATCATTTATTAGAGGTGTTTTGGCATTTGGATTTTTACAATAGAATAAATACAACCCGCCTTCTTCAAGGTAAGAAATACAATATATTGTAAGAAGAAAACTAAGGAATTAAATTCATTATGTAAAGGCAGTTTGAATAAACTTTAACTTAATATTTCTGAAACCAACACATACATTAAAAAAAATAAAGAGAGATACATCTGGGAAACAAAACCCAGTTTTGCCTGAGCTAAGGAAAAGCACTGTGGGGCATTGAGCATATTTAGCCCTCCCACATTTAGCATCAAGAGGCACAAACTTTGAAAAATCTCCATGCTAGTCCTACATGGTGACATTAACTACACAGTAGCTAATAATTTTTTAAAGTACATGACAGGTTTGGAAATAAATGACAGGTTTCCAATGACAGGTTTGGAAATAAAAATTAAGAAAGAACAGAAAAAAATTAATTTGCTGGTTTCATAGTAACAACTGTCATTGTCAGAAGACCCCAAAGTGTTTCATCAGCTATATATAGAGACGACTTACTCTGTCCCTGGAATTCAGCCATGGATGAAGTGTAGCAAGAAACATTTATGGGACCAACAAGCACTACCAAAGCATAGCTTGGGCTTCAGGGGTATGGAGAAAATGCTGACTGCACTGACACCACTGGCTTTTGCCAACCCTTTGTGCGGAAGGAAAATCACGGGGCTGAGACGTTGTGCGACCATGCCAGCTCGAGATGCCCTTATGTGACCTTGAGCAAGTCAATTCAGATGAAATTTTCCCAAAAATCTGAGTGTTAGCTTGTTAGACTACTCTCATTGAGAGAAACGAGCTTATTGTGCTGCACTGTGCCATCCCTGAAACAGTGTCAGCAATGCTTCCTTTGGTCCCTAATGTCCACCTAAAAAAGAATTCTCAGGAGCAGAGGCTTTGTCTGCCTAAAAGCCCTGAGGAATCTACACAACAATTATGGTTGTAGTGTGCTTTACCTATCACACACCCTTCAACTCTGTGTTTGCCTCTTCTGACTGTGTGTGGGCTGCACCCAAACATCCCCCTCATTATTCTAGGATGTCAGGGATTTGGGGTCCCTTATACCCCAGAGACAGTGTTCCCACTGTTTGTAGGGCCATGTTTAGAGCCCTGCATCCTGCACAGCAGATGGCCCTGGTTCTCAGAGAGGGCTCAGGGCAGCAGGAATCAATCAACATCTGGTCTGTGCCAGAGTCACTAGGCAGTACTGTGATACACAGTAACAATCACAAACTGCAAGGCGAGTGCTGAAAGGTGTAACATAGCCGGGCAAACCCCCCAGTGATGGCACTGCCAGGCTACAGTATACGAGATCGTATCTTTCATGAATGAGAAGAGCCCTCAGACTTCACATTCTAATGCATTTCTAGTCATAAAGAACCACGACACCTGAAGTCTCTTATCCCTTGAGCTAGACACTCGAGGGTGTCTTTCTGATTTAATGGTTCCTGTCAGGGTAAGGGCAACTCACAAAGATTAGATCACGGACTAAATAATATCAGAAGCTTTGATAAATGCTTTGCACAGATTACAAGTGGGCAAAGGAAAAACTGGGGAAAGTATATTGTAATTTATATACCACACTGCAGTCAGTCTTGGCACACTGAAGTTGTGGAGCAATACACACAGTAACAGGTGGGGAAACCACAAATAGGGCTGGCGTAATAGTGGAAAAAATGGTGAGACAGATCCAGGATTTTAAAAATGGTTCAGTGACGAGAATGCAAGAGGCAGGACTAGGGGTATAGCATGGCCTGTTACAAACCTTTTGAAGAAACCTTCACACATCATGTGTTCCCAGAATCCTGCCTATGTTCCTATTTTATGCTTGCTTAGCTTTACCCTACAGAGATACTAAGCAAACCCTGTGTGACTACGGCTGCAACTGATGATACAATTTGTAATTCATTAATACAACCAGTTAAAAAAATCCCTTTGTAGGCCAGCCTGTGACCCTTAAATTATTTAACTGAGACTGTCATCTGAAATGGCACCACATTGTTCAGCAATAGTTTTGGTCACAATGAGAGAGGTATGTGTGAGAGACAAGGAGTGCAAAGACAATATGCCTTTATTTATCTAGAAACAAATACCATCAGCTAAGTTAATTTCCAGACAACAACTATATCTGAGGGACACAGGTTTGAAATCACTGAGGTATGAGGTAGAGATGATGGGCACAGGACATCAGGCACTGCTGTGTTCTAAACTCAGCATTTGTACACATTGACTGACTGACCTTTGACAAGTTGCAGTCTCAATGCCCTCATTTCTTTTTCCAGATACACCAGTGTAATATCACTAACATCAATGATACTCAAGTTACACAGTCAAGAAGGCAACCTGGTTGAACAAATTGCCAGTTTGCAAAAAGGAATACTATCTATATTATTAATTCCACAGAAGAGATACAGAGATTAATAAAAGCAGCAAATTCACCCTTGTATACAGCAGTATTAGGCACAACCTGAATTATTGCCAAACAGGGATATGTTCTTTATGTATAGCACGAGTTTTCATTTTCTAGAAATGTTGTCCTTCCATGCTGTCCAACAAGTCTTACTCTGACACTCAGCTGCAATAAGAACCAGCACTGAGAAAATGAGCAATGTTCATGCCATGTCTGATGTAAAAGCAGCAAGGCCTGAATCTTCCAATTCTGACTCTAAAGACAATTGTTTCCTTCCAGCTAAGATCCCTCTCACCAATCTCAGAAATATTTTTATGTCAGGAGAAATAAGTATCAGTTTTGCACACTTGCCAGTATCAGCCTGCTCTTGAGATCTACCAGCAATAACCTACTCATGGTGAAGGCTCTTGTCTATTTTCAATCACTCTGAATGTGAATAAGTCCTCTGTTTCTTAAGTAGTTAACCTCTCTCCATGCCTGAATTCAGTTAAGCATAAGCAAAGGAGGACAGGAGAGCATTTAAATGTTTTTTAACTTTGAAACTAGATCATTTTTACGATAAATTAGCTAAAGGGCAGTCTAGTCTCTATTGTGTCCCCTAGTTAAATTTGGAATAGCTGTAATCTTCCAGATTTTCACAGCTGAACCAAATTCAACATGTGTGGAGTTTTTTTCTAAGCCACAAGCTGTTCTAGGTAACTTCTCAGTTCCTATGAACAGTTACTGGAAGTGCAGTCAGCAACAAAGGTGAAATTACCCCTACAGGCTGTAAGGCTCCACATGCATTTATACAAGCTCCCACATTAATTTTTCAGTGGATACAATCTAAACACATCTTCCCTGATAAAAACATTCTGCAGAAAGCAGAATTTTGCAATTCCAATGAATGAAGTCAAATAGATCTTAGGCTTCTCTAGGGGAAATGATTTTGTCGTGAAAGTGCTTCTAGAATACCATGACACTCTCATTTGTTCCCCATGGTTCTGCAATTCCTCTGGTACCACTTTCATTGGTAACCTTGGCACAGAGATGATCTATGGAACATCAGGCTGCTCAGGCCCTAAATTTGTAGGGCCTGATTTTTTGCTGTGGAAGTACCAGTGGTGGGAGTCAGGGGAGTCACTGCACTTCCAGTTGCAGGAAGAATGTTTAAAACAATGCATGATGGAAATACCAGGAAAATTTAGAATTCTGCTGGGCCTAAAGGTTCAAAACATCAGGCTTACTCAGTGGGGAAAAGTGCAGTATCTAACTGTACTCTGTAAAGCACATATGGGAAAAGAAATTCCATACTGGCAGCATTCATTATCCCAAAACTATCCACTGTATGGGGGAGTGGAAGCATACGTTTAAAACAATGCATGATGGAAATACCAGGAAAATTTAGAATTCTGCTGGGCCTAAAGGTTCAAAGCATCAGGCTTACTCAGTGGGGAAAAGTGCAGTATCTAACTGTACTCTGTAAAACACATAAGGGAAAAGACAAATTCCATACTAGCAGCATTCATTATCCTAAAACTATCCACTGTATGGGGAAGTGGAAGTATATAGAGTTTGGAGCATGTGCCTCAGTTTCCTTTCTATAGACCAGGAATAACACTAATACTGTAAAGTATAAGGAAGTGTGTGAAAATCAAATACCAGATAAATCTGGAATACTTGAAGACAAGTACAAATACTGTGATGACCAGAGCAGAAAACCATAAATTATATATTTGGGAACATGCTCCAACTGAGTGCAACAGACATTCACTGAACAAAGAAGAAAAACCATAATGGTATTGAGCACTGCTTATGCAGTACACTGAACAAAGCACAATTTCTGAGAAAAAATTATGTGACTATGCAAATAAAATCTGCATTCTGATGCATACAAAACAGCTTGGAAAACTTAACTCTGGGACAGTCCACCATCAATTAAATTGAGATCTTGATTTTTTTAAAGATAACGTATACTTTATTTCTAATTAGTTGTAGCACAGTCAAATAATTTTAAATGGGTTCTGAATTGTAAGACAATTCATACACAATGTCAAGAAATGCACTAAAGGCTTCCAATGAAGCCCTGCAGTTGCATTACCCCTACAGCTTCTGCTCAAGAAATAAAAACGTTTTGCATCTCAGATCTGTCTGTTGCAGTTCACACAAGAGTCATTAAATGTGTTTACATTGACACAGACTAGACTTTTCATTGAATCAGTCAAAAGTTGTTTAAAATGGTTTTTTTCCCCTCTGCAAATTAAAACGAGCCGCAGTTCACACAAGTCATTAAATGTGTTTACATTGACACAGACTAGATTTTTCATTAAATTAGTCAAAAGTTGTTTAAAGTGGTTTTTTTCCCCTCTGCAAGTTAAAACATACATCACCATACCATTAAGAATCAGCAGGTAATACAGACCAAAGAGATCACACTGTATGGAAAGTGAGAAAGATTCTGAAGTGTAACTTCTCCCATGCAGTACTTGAGAATATCACAGCAGGAAGTGTTTTACCACCAGGCTTATTTAAAAGAAATGTACCAGCATCAATGCCAGAAACTCCTAATGCTCAGTGCTCCACACTCCCCTCCACTCCATTTTCAAGGCCAGGCTGCCTTCCTGGCCCTACACTGTATAGCATCATGTAGAAATAGTACCCTCATCTCTGTGTATCCAAGGAATTGCCTCTGATGTCACAGGGTCTCTCAAGTAGTTTCTCTGCAGAGAACTCCCTTATGTCCCCAATATGGACAGTGCAGGCAGAGTGTCAGAGTGAGACAGAGGAGAACCCACTGACATACACCTGTCAGTAAGAGCTGTTAGCAGTTATCTAGAACATTGCCAGTTGTCAAGACTACTTCTTGCAAGGCTGCAAGGCACAGAGACAGCAGGGTCACTATTTTAAATCTGAAACCATGCCTCTAGTAATCAGTAAATCTGGAGATGTAGGATTATTAGTAAAACTCAGATGCATACCCTGATCTAACACACTATTTCTTCTAATAACAGGGTTTTTCCCCCCTGCAAGAATCCCCACAACATGTAAAAGCATGAAGAGTTTCCAACCCACAATGAAAGCAAATACAAAAACTAAACATTTTTTTAAATGACACTGAAACACAAAAAAATTGGGGATTTTTGTGACTGAAGATACTCTGTGTGACTCAACATCATGAAAATTCACTGACTCTTTAATACTTTTAAAATATAACAGCATTAACATCTCTCATATATTAATGGATATATACATACCCAAACATTAAAAAATGTTCTGTTTCTCACAGTGTTTACAGTGCCACTGTGCAAGACATTACATGAACACAACTCATTCCTACACACAATACATGTAAAATAATTCAACTTTAGAATGTGAATTAACAAAATATGTAACTGAATATAATTGAACAGCAAAACCAGCAAATAAATATTTTCTTCTGTGCTACTGAATGTGGATCATACCTGTTTTTAGGAACTGTCATATAAAGTTGTGAGCCCACTGTAGTTCAAATCATGTGTTCACCAGTTACAGAAAAGACCCATGGACTGGCAGTGACAGACAAATGAAGAAATGAAAACAGAACAGACTTCAGTGGCCAGCCTGAAAAAGACTGAAATTTGTACTTAGTGCATCCAGATAGGAACAACACTATTTCTTCTTCAGGGAAAGAGGTGTGATTCATCTTAACATTTTTAAAAGACCCAGAAAGTGGCTGGCTGACAAGCAAACAGAGGTTTGAACAACTACAGGTCAGGAATGGGTGAATGAGATCTGCTGCTGTTCCAACACCTGTCAGCTGCTTGATTAACAGGCAACTGAAGGAGGTGATAGCAAGACTATACACTGCAGTAAGAAAAGTGTGTTAAGCACGTGCCCTATTGATCACTCCTTCCTCCTTCCCATCCTTCAGTTTATTGTCTCTTCTCCTATTTACAGCCCTGCTATGAACAATAAGACATGTCTAGTACACAACACTTTCCTTATTGTTCATTACACCCAAGTCCCCAATGGCCACATTGCTACACTCCAATTACCAAGTTCTCCCAGTGCATTAAACAATGTGACTCACAACTACCACACAGTAGATCTATAACACCTACTCTCTCAGCAGACTGTCTGGGAAAGGCACCTTTTCATAACATCAGTTAATTTATACACCCAGTCTTGTACTCCCCAGGCTAAGAAACACCAGAGCATGACAAAGGATTATATATTCACAGCAATCATGAGAGACATTTTCCTACTTTTCATTGCAACTATTATGCAGTCTCTGTAATCCAACTTTCTAGCTGACTTTTTACACAAACAATAAAGTCACTATTCATCAAGCAGCTCAGCACTGAAATGCCAGCTTTTTTTCTTCCATTGCTTACCTTCTCCATTTGTCTTCCTTACTGTCCCTGATGCTCCTAGGATAAACTAGACTACCTCAAATAGATACAAATGGATATACAAAGATGACAATTGCCTACTCTTTTCAAGACAATGCTTTCTCTGCATGTGTCTAGCTGAAGCCAGCTTGCTTATTTTGAGTTTATTTCTCCTTATGTAGAATAGATATTTAAAAGATTCTTTTACTGCAATTTTGATTCAAAAGCATTTAGTCTATGTTACAATATCCTTAAAGCCTTTAATACAGTAAAATCACCAAAACAGCTTCCATCACCCCATCTAAAGGGTTTCTATTTATCATTAGATCTGGAATGCAGCTAAACACAAGAATTTATGGTTGGGGGAAAACTACAGTAGATTTTCAAGGAAATCCTGGAAAACATGACACTGCCTCCCACAGTGGTCAGCAAGTCAGTGATGTGCTGGATGCACTGCCTAGCAAGGAAACTTCTTCTAGCCCTCACAGTTCAACTCAAGAATTATTCTCCCTTCAGACCTAATCCAGCAGTGAGAACTGCAACTCTCTGTAACCTCAACCACCACTGAGTGGTGACAGTTGACAAAAAACTCAACACGACCAAGCAGTGTGTGCTCACAGCACAACAAGCCAACTGAATCCCAGGCTGCATCCAAAGCAGCATGGCCAGCAGGGCAAGGAAGGGGATTCTGCCCCTCTACTCTGCACTTGTGAGACCCCCACTTGGAGTGCTGCATCCAGCTCTCATGTTCCCAACATAAGAACATGGAACTGCTGGGGCCATGAAGTTGATAACAGGAACACCTATTCTATAAATACTGAGAGTTGAAGCTGTTCAGCCTGGAAACAAAAAGGTTGTGTGAAGATGTAACAGTAACTTTCCAGTATCTGAGGGAGGATACAGGGAAGCAGGAGAGGGACTCTCTTTCAAGAACTGTAGTGACTGGACATGGGGAATGACTTCAAACTGAAGGAAAATAGGTTTATAGTACATGTTGGGAAGAAATTCTTTAATATGAGGGTGATGAGGCACCCAGGTCCCCCTGAAAAGTGGTAAATGCCTCAACCCTGACAGTGTTAAAGGCCCAGGTTGGATGCAGCTCTGAGTAACCTTGTTTAGTGAAAGGCATCCCTGCCCATGGTGGGGAGGTTGTAACTAGATGATCTATAAGGCCCCTTCCAACTCAAACCCTTCAGAGATGCTATGATTCTGTAAGTTATACTTGATTGTGCCTGCTTCCAGTTACCCCAGCTGTGCACTCACACAGCTTCACTGACCTCAGAACTACTCCTGAGTATCACTGATGCAAGCAAAAAAGATCAAGCCCTTATGGGAGATAGCAGACAGGGAAAATAAATCTTAAATCCTGTTAGTAAAACTCAGGATCTTTGTTTTAGATCTGTGCATTGCTATAGGACAAAACACCTCCCATCTCTTTGCTTCCAGCAAAAGCTTAGCCAAGAGAATAATGGCTTCAGGGCCTTCTCAACATGTACACTGCAGAAAGTTTCTGCCTCATCATTTCACAACGCCACCAGTGAAGGGTGACTGCTGCACTGCCATGGGGTACAGAAAGAACTGAAAATGGAGAAAAACACATCAATGCAGCCTAAAAAACACAATAAACCACTGCTCTTCCTGATAATCACAGTAACTGTATAAAGTCAGAGATCACAGGTGTATTCTTATAAATGATAACACTTTAATAGGGAGCAGATATGTACATCAATTAAGAACAAAGGACATTGTTACTCTGAGCTAATGTCTCCCAAACTACAAAACATCAACATGTCTCCTAAAACCAACAGCAAAACACAACATATTCCTTGACGATGAGATTATCTCGGGTGAACAAGGTGTTCAAGCCACTACTCTGAAACACAGATTGTTTTACAGTTCAGTTAGCAGCCACAAACCCACAGATTTGTTAACCTAGTTTTGCTTAAAACATTAAAGAACTTCATACACTCCGAAAAAGTGTCAACCTTTGCATATCCTAGAAAGGTTTAAATATTACTTCATTATGCTGCAATCAGATTGTATCTTAAATGCCAGTCACATTCCCAATTAGAAATGGCATAGGGAACATACCAATATTAGTAGCAAGTGACAGGAAATACAGGGAAGGTAGCTTTCTTCTCCCTCCTTCAGAATTGTTTATCATGGTGGCTCACTAGATTACAGGTGGTGCAAGAAGAAAAAAAAGAAGTATCATATTAGTAAATTAATAACAATTTGAGAATGCTTATGAGTATTTAATACAAGCACTGTAATTTGGTATGTAAACAGTAAATTGCATAGGTAGCACTCAATCCCTTCACATTCATTCTGACATATTACAACTGAACACTACTACTCTTATTCTTCAAATCAGAAGAGATTCCTTTTTCCTCTCTATAGGAAATTCCTCCCACCTCTTGCTTACAAATGAAGCCAGACCAGAAAGATGCATTCCAGGAGTGCAACTCACAGGGGTTTGAGCAGACCAAACGAGATCTAGCCTGCACAAAACCTCTGAAATGCACATAGTGTGATGAAGGGTCTTCAGCACCACTTTGTTCTACAAATCTCTTCCAGCTGGGTTGCATTACTTACCAAGGTAGACGAAGCTCTGCTCAATGCACAGCTGATGAGGTGAGTTGGAAGAAAAAGAATATAAAGACTAGACCTCTATGCATATGAAGACAGCCATTATATTTTCTCTAGAAGTATGACACACTTTGTAGCGGTAGTTTTACAAAAGCAAAGAACATTTAAAATTTCATAGCACTTACCTTTCTCAATCAAACCTTTTCAAACATACCAATGTTTACAAGTGAATAATTTACACAAAATGCTTGAAACAGGTCACTAAAAATTAGCATATAACAATTTATATTCTAAGACCCTAAGAATTTTAACAGGCAATATATTCTTTCAAATACAATTTAATGTCACAGTTGAGATGGCACAGAGTGCCACCACACAATTTCAGAAGGCTTGAAGTGTTCACCCAGAGTAACATCATACCACATCAGAAGGCCTCAAGTAGCTGCCCATACAGAACACCATGAAGCCACCTCAGAAGGTTGCAAGCATCTGCCCTTCTTGTCACCTGTGTGCCCTCTGCTCCCGTTGGTGGTTGCTCAGTGTCCCTGGGCACTCCAGGTCTCACTGCCTTCAGTGCTGCTCACCTGCTGCTCACAGCTGTGGCCCACTGGGGATGAGGCTGGGCTGCAGCCCCACTCCCAGTCACCACAAACTGTGTGCCTGCAGTTTAACGGCAGCCATCAGCAGAGGTGATCCCAGCTGCAGCGTGGCTATGAGAATTTCACCTACACACACCATCCATGTCATGAGAAAATAAAGGGACTACTTGAAACAGGTTTGGATTTCAGTTCAAAAAAGCTCCTCTTTAGAGCCCAGCATGGAGCAAATCTCCATGAGGCTCAGCTTCAACACTAGCTAATTACAATGCCAACTAAGCATATTTCCTAATAGACTTTCTGAGCTATTATTTTTCCACAAAACACTTGTTTATAATCAAGTCAAGAATAAATATTTTTCTCTCTCTAGAAGATGTCTCTGTTCCTCCAATTAACTTCCAAGGGAAATCCCAGCTTTACTCTGGAACCAAACAAGGATGGAACAGAAAGCACAGAGGTATAAAACTTTTGTCTTGCAGCTCTCCATGGGAAATACCAGAACCTGAACACGTTCCAGCACTTACAACTTCCAGTTTATCTTTCTGACTAGAGCATTTAAATAATGAACCCTGTTGCTAAACACAACAAACAAAACTAGTTTTCTTGTTTTAGAACCAACTTTCTTCCCCTTGCAATATGCTTGATATTTTTAGGCATGGAAATATGTGTATTTCTGGAGGTTTTAAGTTATGCTAGAAGTAAGGTCACATGAAAGTTTCATGAATGAAAAGGATGCACAGGAGCCACGAGGAATGTGAAAAAGAGCAATAAAACTGGCCTTTTGGTTTGCACCACTCCCAGACAGTTCCTTTGCTAGCTGATCAGAATCTCAAGTGTTAGAACCATCAGAAAAATAATATAAATTCCTGTTAAATCAGTTATATCCTCCAAACACTCTGACACTGTCATAACTGCAGTGGTAGCAGCTCTTACCAGCTCAGCAATTGCTGTCATTACATCCAGATCATACTGTGTCAGAAGGAATGTGACACAGAGTTAACACACACTCTCTAACAAGGCACTGGTAAATATCATCAGGCACAGAGCTGGACATCCAGCTGCATTTCCTCCCTCTGCTGCCACACCTACAAGGGTTTAACCCAAGCAAAGAAAAATCAGAGAGAAATAACAAAATGTTGAAATCAGGGGACACTCACAATGGATAAAATTAGGCATTTAAATAAATCTCTCCAATCCCAGACTTTTATCAGCATTTCATATTTCTACTGCATGTTAAATGATTGTCAAATACAGCAGCCTTAAAAACAACTCTGTTATTTCTGTCATAGCTATGAAGCTTCTCAACAATATATGGAAATAGTTTTAGAGAACTGGTCCTGGAATTGTTATCTTTGGTATCATTTTGTCCATCTGCTGACATCAGTTGGGATAAATTTTATTTCTGTAAATTTTATTTAAATAATTTAATTAAATTTTATTTATTTTATTTTATTTAAATTTTATTTATTTTTGTGTGATTTCTCTTGGTTTGTCACAAGCCACATTCCCTTTATGGCTTTGTGCACCAACTTCCAGGTGCAGAACCCTGCAACCCTGAATGCAAACTGATGGGAGACATCACAGGTTTTAACATCAGAAATTTATTTTTAATCTGAGGCTAACCAAATCTCAGATAAGAGGCTCAGTGAAGCCATGGAGTTTCCACCTTTGGAGATATTCCAAACACAACTGGGCAAAACCATGAGCAAAATGCTCTAAGCTGGCCCTGCTCTGGGGCTGAATCAGATGGCTTTTAGAAGACCAGAAGACTTTTCCAGTCTACATTGTTCTCTGATTCTGGAGCTAGGATTTAGCCCACACACATCACTGCAGTTTTCAATACCTTCTGCTGATGGGAGTCCTACACTTTCCCTAATATCACACACTCCAAACAGGGAAAAATCCTAAGGTGGAACAACTCTAATTGTCCTAGCTGTTCCATCTCCTGTCTGTGAAGAGATGTTTGGTGGATCCCCACTCCCAGCTGCTGCCTGGCTGGGCCCAGCACACAGCCAGCAGCAGCCCTGCCACGCTGAGGCGTCTCCATCTCTCCATGGCTGCTGCCTTCCTACCCTGGCTGCTGCCTCACTGCAGGCAGCCTGGCCTGTCCCACACCTGCGTGATGCCTCCCCAGGGACACTGCCCTGCGAGGCACCGGCCGGGATGGGTGACACCATCCTCGGTGGCCACAACAGCGGCTTTCCTCACGGACACCAGCCACACGCCGGCATGTGGCACACACTCAGCTGAATCATAGAATCATTTGGGTTGGAAAAGACCTCTAAGATAATTGTGTCCAATCACTAACCCTGCACTGCCAAGCCCACACTTAAATCCCACATCTCCGTGTATTCCAACTGCCTCCAGGGATGGTGACTCCATCGCTTCCCTTCAGCTCCAATGCCTGACCACCCTTATGATGAAACAGTGTTTCTTAATTTCCAATCTAAACGAGCACAACTCCAGGCCATTTCCTCTAGTCCTGTCACTTGTTTCTTGGCGAAGAGGCCAACTCCCACCTGGCCAGCATCTCCCTTCAGGGGGTTGTGGAGCAGGACAATGTCCCCCTGAACCTCCATTTCTCCAGGCTAAACACCACCAGCTCCCTCAGCTGCTCCTCACAGGACTTGCGCTCCACACCCTTCACCAGCTCTCTAGCCATTCTCTGGATTCGCTCCAGGGCCGCCATGTCCTTCTTGCACTGCAGAGCACGGAACTGGACACAGGATCGGATCCTTTCCCTGCTCCTTCTGGCCACGCTATTCCTGACACAGGCCAGGGCACCACGGCCCCCAGGCCGCGCTGCCGCCTCCCGCAGCCGGGGCGGGCGCGGCCGCTCTCCCGCCGCCGGGGCGGGAACTTCCCGAGCCCCGGAGCAGGAGCTTCCGGGTGAGCGGCGCGCGCAGCCCACGTGGGCCGGCGGGGAGCGGCGGGAGCCAGGTCGGTGGTGGGACCGGGACCGGGATCGGGACAGGGACCGGGACACGTGTCACCGCCGGGCTCTGTCCCCGTCCTCCCCGCCGAGCCCGGCCCGGCCACACGTGCGCGCCGGGGCCGGGAGAGGCGGCGGGCTGCCTGCGGCTCCTTCATCGGCGGGCCTGCTGTGGTTTTCTTCCCCCAGTTTTCTCAGGAGGCCGTTTCCCCGAAACGCGGAGCCATGACGTCCCTGGCGGAGCAGCTGAAGCGGCTGGCGCTGCCCCAGACCGACCCCAGCCTCCTGGACCGCAGCGAGGTGGCATCGCTGCTCTTCACCTGCAAGGAAGCCGCCACGATCGACAGGGACACGTTTTTTGCCATCGGTGAGTTTGGCTGCTTAGATGCCACTGGTGTTAAAAACACTCCAAAAAACAGGTGGAGGAAGATAAATAGGAAAGGCAAACCCGTGTTTAAGAAAGGCCAGAAGAATAGTTGAAGAAGCTGCCGGCCAGTCAGCATCACTGCAGTCCTTGGGAAAAGCAGGGAGCAGTGCCTCTGCAAGCGCCTTTCTGGGCATGTGAGGGGAAGGTGATGGGGAAGAGTCAGGGATCCCCAAGATGCTCAGGGACTGGAGAATTTGCCCAATAAGGGAAAGTTGATGAGAGGAATGATGAGTTGATGAGAGGAATATCTCTAGTCTCATCCAGTCTGGAGAAGAGAAGGCTTGGGATGGGTCTCACAGGAGCCTGCCATTACCTTTGGAAAGTTCCCAGAAGATGCACCAGGTGTGTATGGCAGGAGGACAGGAGACAGTAGGAATAAGTTCAAAACTAGGAGTTAAAACTGGATAGAAGGAAAAGCTTTTTCAGTGTGGGGACAATCAAACTATTAACAAGATTGTCTGGGGAGATTGTGCTTGGGGGGGAAAAAAAAGTTACTTTTTTGAAAACTCTGACAGGATAATGCCCTGAGCAACCCGGTCCAAGTTTGGAGACCTTTTTAACCCTGCTTTGAGCAGAACCTGGGACTGGAAATCTCCCAATGTGCCTTCTGACATGAATTCTGTGTTTCATGAAAACATGCTGATGCCCTGCTCTTGGGTAACGTTATGGTCACAAATAATGTGAAGTGGCAGTAGCCTTTGCTGTGTTGGCACCCTTCAAATTCTTTATGCTCTATCCGTTCCCAATTTTACATAATTTTTTATCCAGGAGTGTGATACTGTTGAATAAGAAAGCTGTTTTCTAAAACCAGGCAGATTGATATTATGTTTCCATTTTAAGTAGCAGCATTGTAGATATATATCTTTGATGCAGCACAGTGTGTTTTTTCTGTTTCTGATATAGTTACCCTAGAACTGCTTGGCTGAGTTTGAGGATGGAGTTTTTATTTCTATGGTCTCTTATCCAGTGTTTGGACCTCTGACCCAGTATTTAATCACTCCACTGTTAGAAAAAATAAAGTCTGTACATTGGGTTTGAGTTTTCTGTGTTCCAGCTTGCATCTGGTGTCCTCACATCCTTCCCCTGTGCATCTCTGAGAAGAGTCTGGCTCCATCTCCTTGATAACCCACACTATATCCTGTTCAGTAGCTGCAGACAGTGGGAAGATTTCCTTTTGACTCTCTCTTCTCCAGGCTGAGCAGTTCCTCCTTTCCCTTTTATGTTGTTTTCCAGCCCTTAGACCATCTAGCCTTCCTCTGTTGAACTCCCATCCAGAAATGTTTTTCTTCTACTGATGACTTCAAAATTGCACCAGGGCTCCAGCTGCAGCTCACAAATGGAAGGGGCAGTTCCCCCCTCCCTCAGCCTGCTGGCTGAGATCTCAGGGACAGCACAACCCAGGATGCTGCTGGCCTTCACTGCTGCAAGAGCACTGCTGATAGTTGCTAATGTTGTTTTTCTTTGTCAGTTGAGAAATGGTTCAAATGTATCAAAGGTTCTGGTCTTAGGCCTCTTTACTGTTTGTTTTGGTTTGCTTGGTGAGGATGACATATACCAGTATAGCAGAAAAGTTGGATATGCCAGTGAGGAGGTAAGTGGGTAGGAATGGAGAACAAAAACTATTGTGTTAAAAGCATTCCTTCCTTTTTTGTTTTTTTCCCCACAGGGTGCACTGGCTTAGAAGAACTGATGGGCATTGATCCTTCATTTGAAGAGTTCCAGTCCAGTTTGTTTAGTTCCACATCCAAAGGCCTTGAACGCAGTGTTCAGACTAAAGCAGTAAATCAGCAGCTGAATAAGAATATTTCATTGTTCCTCATTCACCTGTCCCCCTACTTTATGCTTAAGCCAGCCCAGAAGTGCCTTGAATGGCTGATTCAGAGGTAATCTACTGAATATCTTACGTGTCAATAGATAAGGCTACAAATGCAAGATTTATTTCTTCTCAGTGAGAAAAATTTTGAATAATTCTACTTCAACTTTCTGAAAATAGGTTAGAATGGTAATAGTGTGCATTTAGACTTAGTCCTTATGGGGCCAGATGCTATTCTTTGCCAATTAGATACATTTCTGTGATTATTTTGATCTGTCATGGTACTCTATATAAAAGCAATTTTCACCAAAGTTGCCCAGCCCTGGGCATCTTACAGAGCACATAGAGAGGCACTTCTGTATTGTGCTTTTAGAAGTGAGCTTTGTAAAATAGCAAAGTTTCGATATTAACACTGAATCATGAACCCAAACTATTCTTATTTCAGGGTTTTGTAAGAAGGTGTGAAGAAAAAAACAATAAAGTATTTTGTGATGTTACATTTATTTATATAGATTAACCTATCCAAATACAGAAAGTGCAGTACTTATTATCCTGAAAGAGTGTGTGATTTTCCTGAAACGTGGTTCTTTGAATTGCAATTTTCTATGCATGTATTATACTGAGAGATTCATACTAGATTATTGTAACATCTGGTTTAATATTGGGATCTGTGCAGAAGAGAGTAAGGTAATTTTTAGTCATCCAGGGACCTAAAATTGTTGATAGTTAGGGGAAAAAATATGATAGCACTGTTTTTTTCTTCTAGCACACACAGGCTACCTTGAGTTTTTGGACTGTAGGTGGACCATAGGTCTGAGTCAGTATGACAGCCATGTCAGGTCTTGTTTAAAAGCAAGTAAACAAGGTATTCTGAGAAGAATGTGGATGGGTCTTTTTTTCCTTTTTGGCTTCCAGATACTTTAACTACATACGTATGTTCTTTTCCTTAGATTTCACATTCATCTCTACAATCAAGACAGTTTGATTGGTTGTGTTCTGCCATATCATGAGACTAATTTATTTGTGAGAGTTATTCAACTTTTAGATATAAAAAGCCCAACTCATAAGTGGCATTGGATGGATCCAATACGGGTAAAGTACTTAACAGGACCTTGAGGGATTTTATTTAATAATATCTTGACTCTTCTACTCTGCTTATTAATATGGTCCACCAATTTATGTGGTTAGTTGTAGAGCTGTGCTAAAAGGTTTAATTACAGGAATGGAGCCTGGATGCCCACGTGTTGCTTTTGCTATCTTTCTTTAAAGGTGAAGTTGATATTAAAAAGCTTTGACTGTAATTGCTATTTGTTTTGCCTAAGTTAAGGAACGCTTTTAAGGTGTAAGTATTTGCTACTGCTAGGAAGATACATCAGTTACTAAAATTTATGTTTATTTGCATGTAGGTTAAATGTAATTTTCTTCATCATCTGTCTTAATGTAGGCACAAAACATTCTAGAGCAGTGTGTGGCAATCCATTATTTTTTTCAGTTTCAATGGTGTTAACTGATCAGTAGGATTAATTTAGAGATTATAGTATGTTTACTTTCTGTGCTTCACTTTATTCTGAATGTTCTAACTTTACTTTTTTTTCACTATGTAAAGAAACCTGGGGTCCCACTGGCAAGGGGTACTGTCATTACACACTGCTACAAAGACCTGGATTTCATGGATTTCATCTGCAGGCTGGTGGCAAAATCTGTGAAGGTTGTTAATTTATTCTAGAACATTGTTTGTTGTCACTTTGTCTTCCCCGTGTTTTTATAGTAGTGTACTGTTTCTTAATATTTTGAACTACATATCAAAGAGTAAAATAATTTATCAGTAAACAATATGAGGATTTCTTTTATTATAATTTGTGAAGATGACAGTCTGTCAGAAGTTCTTATAAGAAAGTGGCTGAGAACCAATGAGCCATGACAAAACAATTTGGTCATACTGTATTATTTACTGTGTTGCCTCGAGGTACTTAATTGTCTTAGTTTTTCCCATAAACTCATTCCTGCTATTAGTCTTTAACTGTGCTCTGAATTTCCATGTCTCTTCTGGGGGTTGTCATGGGTGTTTTAAATACATGTCTTCAAATATTAATGAGAATTTGAAATTGAGGATGTTTAAAAGGTGGGCAGATTTTTTTGCTTTTTTCAGCTAATGTCAAATAGAGGGGTAGTTCTGTAGTCTCAGAAGGATAAGATGTATGACAGATCCAATTATTTAGAGAACTGGGATGCATCTGCTATCAAACTAAGCAAAGCAGACACAGTAACAGAGTTTATTCACAGGTGTAGAAGGAGGTGTTAAATATGACAATATTTAGCTTCTTGGCTGTCCAGCTCTGAGTCTTGAGCAGTACACCAGGATCACAGGTGATTTTGGCTGCCTTATTCTGATTATTACATTGGCACCCATTTCCCTCTGCCCTGTCTGTGAGGTGGAGCAGTAACCTCTGGTGAGGATTGCTGCTGTGAGAGGAGGTGACTTCAGT